GAACTCTTTAGTAAATAACGGCAACTTTTTTTGTTTTGTTTTGTTCTTGCAACTTGTAAAAACACCTGCATATCTTACTATATATTGTGGAATAGTAACTGCTGTGATTTTTCACCTATGTTCAAAAGTGATGAAAGTTTATGAGAAATTGTTGACTAGATGAAAAGACACTGATCTATGAAGCTACTTGTTACTTTTTACTTCAAATCAAAACTGTAAGAGCTATTTTCTCACATTCTTCATTTTAATAAGTTTCATCTAGGTAAAAGACTGTTGTCTTAAACGAATGATAAAAAGAAGAAAGGCTTATCAGAAGGGAGAGGCATTTTAGGAAACCCATGAAGGTTTCTTAAGGAGGAAGAACTTAGGAGTATTGGTGGATGAAAAACCGAATATAATCTAGCAACGTGCACTCACTGGCCATAATGCCAGCTGCATCCTGGGCTACATCAAAAGTGTATCTAGGAGGCTGAGAGGTGGGTTTGTCCCTCTATCTGCTCTGGTGGGACCCCACCTGGAGAAATGGCAATGGCCATCTCTGCTTCCATGTGCTTCCTGGGCAGGCTGCTAAAATACCTGCTACCTGTAAAACAACTGAAAGCTGGAAGGAAAATTCAACTGTATCCAGCTCTGGGGCCCCCAGCGAAGAAAGACCTGCTTGAGAAGATCCAGAACAGGACCACAAACATGATCAGCAGCTGGAGCACCTCTCCTGCGAAGACAGGCTGAGAGAATTGACATTGTTTACCCTTGAGATGGGAAGGCTTCAGGGAGACCTTATAGCAGCCTTTCAGTACTTAAAGTGAGCTTACAGGGCAGAGAGGACACACTCTTTATCAGGGAGAGTAGTGATTGGACAAGGGATAATGGTTTTAAATTGAAAGCAGGTGGATTTAGAATAGATATTAGGCAGAAACTCTTCACTGTGAGGGTACTGAGGTACTAGAACAGGTTGCCCAGAGAAGCCGTTGGAGCTCCATGGAAGTGTTCGAGGCCAGGTTAGATGAGGCTTTGAGCAACCTGGTCTAGTGGAAGGTGTCCCTGCCTAAGAGGGGTTGGATCTTTAAGTCACCTTCCAACTAAAACTATTCTATGATTCTATGAAGTCTATTGAGTCTTTATAGTCTGAAGAACTCATAACCTATATTACAAAAACCAAACTAACCAAACAACAAAGACCCTATCATAAAAACCCCCTTCATTTAAGCCAGTATTTTCAGATGTGTATTCTTAAAGTCAGATTCTATTTAAGCACTTGAAAAAAACTTCTTATTTAAAAATTATGAACATTTCTTTTTTGTCGTTGTTGATTAACATTTCTGAAGTAAAAGTAGTTGTTTTCAGTAGTAGAACATGAAATTACAAATCTGAGTTCAGATATTCACTTTTGCAGATTTTGACTGAAATGTCTGAGACCATGACTAATAAACAGAAATTTAGCTTATGAGACACTAATTATCAACTGAAAAAGTGAAGTGAAACTGGTTCCAATGAAAACTTTAATTGGAAGTTCTATATGTGAAAGTTTTACTCTAGATTTTCAAAGAAGAAATTCTAAATCCTTTTCTATGCTTTGATAGCATAGAAAAATTTCATAGAATCAAAGAATGATTCAGGTTTGAAGGGATCTAAGAAGGCCAAAGAGTGCAAACTCCTGTTTGAAGCAGAGTTATCTTTAACATAAACTGTCTTTCCTTCCATATAATGCACAGTTCTGCAATGGCCATCTCTGCTTCCATGGGCTTCCCGGACAGGCTGCTACAACACCTGCTACCTGTAAAACAACTGAAAGCTGGAAGGAAAATTCAACTAACCTGCAAAGAAGCTGTAATAGTTTCTGAAGAAGGTGATGTGATAAGACCAATTTAAGTAGCCTTTTCAATTGTTAATAAGAGCTGTTATTAATTTAGAGGTGAAATTTAAAGCTTTGCACTCTAATTAAAAAGACAAAACAACTCAGGCTCATGATCATTTATGAACAGAATGTGGTTTGTAGCCCCTGAGTTACAATGCAGTTTGAAAGAGTTGGTATGACACTGCAATTAATAAAGAGAGAAAAGAGAAGTTAGAAGCTCACAGCAGTTTCTGGGAAGTAAAAGGGCACAGGAATCGGTTATTGTTGGATGACACTCAGAAATAACAGATGGCTGACATCTATGAAGAGATTGTCTATGTTGTGTAGAGATAAAGATGTAAACATTTGTCAATTAAACATCTGTCACACCTACTTGGAGAAGACAACTACTTAGTATCTACTGATAAGTCCATAGGATTAGGAGATACAGAAAAATGCACTAGAGAAGGCTCAAAAGGAACCACATAGACTTGCTTGCAAATCTTCTGAAGCTGAAAAAGCTGAAGTTAAAGAGACAGAATGTTCAGATAGTTGCTTCTATTAGTAAGGAGAAATTCCTCTGCGTGTCCCATGCCTTTCTTGAAGACAGAAAGTGCTGAAACTCAAGCAGTCAGCAAAAGTTTTACCAACTGTCTTTCTTCATCGAATCTATAGCCAGGAGGTATTTTCTTTCTTAGCTCTTTTCTCTAGGGTGAGTGTTGGTATAAAGCAGCCCAAGACAAAGAAATACCAATAGAGAAATGAGAGATGCATGCTAATATAGACACGGGTGGCATTGCAAGGCTTCAACTACTGGTATCTTCATTCATGGGGAGAAAACTACCTTTGCTTTTTGGTAGAAACATCTTCAGAGTTCCTAAATGAAGATAAAATTTATTATTTCAAATCAACTCTCCATCTCAAATCATGTAATACTTCATGTGCTAATGTTTTTAGTTAACACTCTGAGACAGGAAGAACCATGTAGAAGTTTGTATAAAAGAAGAAATTGCAATTAATAAGGTTTATTTTTTAAAAAAATTCTAAGTTACTTGTATTAGACATTATACTGATCATTTTAATAAAATTTTGATCTGTCTGCTATTAAAAAAATAACAACACTGGAGTTATAGATCATCATAACCTGTTATAAAATATTATCCCTTTAAATACTTAAATTGAGGTATTATATCTTTCATTAAGATATAGTATATTCTGACACTGGAGGACAGACTAATTCACTGTAAACTCTACCTAATAATTTCAATTCTTGGTAAAAATAAAGAATTTTAGATTTATTGAGTCAATATTTATAGTGTATTAATTTATCATGAATAGATGTTGCTTCAATAAAAGAGAAGTTAAACAATTCATTGTGGTTAAAACTGTTTAACATATGCACATGCATATCCCCAAATATTTGCAGTTATATTATTATGCACCTGTATGTATACAAGTAATACATTTAAATTTTATGATGTAGAGCTAGTATACACTGTACTTTATTCTATGTCTTAACTTCATTAGCAGTGCCTGTGCTCGCTAATCCATCCCTCCAAAATTTAATTGAACTTAACATTTCAAACCATCAAAACCCAAATCAATCAAACTTAAAAGAACTCAAAACAAAACCAACCAACCAAAAAAAAAAAAACAAAAAACCCGCAAACAAACAAAAAAGCCCCAAACCAGTAACAACTAACCAACCAACCAAACCAAACCAACCAATCAATAAAAACAAACACTCAAAATAAAAAAAACCCCAACCTCAACAACTTTGCAACTACATTTTCTGAAGGAAACTGTGGAAGACAAGATAATCATCTTCAGGTACAAGAGAGGAAGTATTTAGACATCACTAAACAGCTGTGTCATCTAGTTTCTCAGGATCTTACTGGTTTATTTAAAAATTAGCTTCATTTCATGGTTAAGGGGAAAAGCACTTTTTATTGTAATAGAGAATACTCATTTCCCACTGGGTTAAGAAGTATTGGCATAAAATCTAATATTTTACTAGGAGAAAAGCCACTTAAAATATAGATCACTTCAGGTTTTTCTCTCTTTCAGGCATAATCATTTTCATGTCTAATAATTGAGAAACTAATCCTATAAAATTAGGGCTTTCTTTTTAGTTTTTTCTTATAAATTATCTTGAGTAATTTTTATGTAAAATTATTGTATACAGAAAAAATAATATAGTAGTAAATATTATAAATCATTAATGGCTTATGCATAGCTTCATCCATCTAAAGCAGTCTGTTCCAAACTCATCCCTTTCAAACACATCTTTATATAAGTATTTTGTGTATGTCACTATATACAAAGTAAAGTAATTGCACGCAGTTACCAAATTACAAGAAATTGAATCTTGCTAGTGTGAAGGACAAAACAATCTTTTCCCACATAGGAGAGTTGAGAAACTAAAATCTATCCTATATAGTATAGACAGACAAGACAAAATTTTACTAGTGTTCACTCATTTCTTTCTTCATCCTTTTCTTATTCAATACAATAGAAAATATTTTAAAACCCTGTATGATGCATATTTCCCATTCCCTTACAGACCAAAGTTTTTTTAATTAAAATTTTTACGGAAGTTAAAGAATAAAGAATACTAGGCCAATATTACCTTGCAAATACATTTTGCATTGTCCAAAAATTTTGAAAGAAGTCAGTGTGAAATAGGTAAAAAAGTGTCAAAAATAACACAAAATATAATTGTAGAAAACATCCCAAGTTTTTATAGGTAAGATTTTAAAGTATCTAATTTGGGTCTAAAAAAAATTAACATTTTTGGTTTTATTTATATACACAAAAGTAGGAAACATTCAGTTAATCTGTGATTTTTTAGTAACACCTAAAGATTTACAGAGGTTCATCATTTAAGATTAAAATTCAGCAATCTTTAACTAAAACCTGTAAGTGTATTATCACCTTATACAGTAAAGAAGCACATTAGAGCATGGCATTGAAACTTATAAAACACTGTCTAAAAGAACTGCTGAGAAACAGGGAACATGTAAGTACAAGGAAAAAGAGTACCAGCAGGTTACTAGCATGTAAACCAACATTTTTTTAAAGAACATGTTATGTTGACCCCTTGCAGCCCTAAAGTTGTAAGACTTCTAAGGAGCTGCTGTGACTCTATTCCCAACCAAAAACTCACTTGTTTGATGCGGTCTGGATTAACAGTGGTCTGAGGCTGTAGAATGCTGACAGGTTCTGTCTTCGCCACATTCTGAGGCATTTCTCGAATCTTCTCTGCAATGAAGCCATGAACTGCGTTTAGTGCTTCCACCGTTCCCTGGATCAGACACACCCGCTCTGTAGTACCTGCAAATACAAAAGTTGATCTGAATGACAAGGATTCTTCAAGATCCCACAAACTGCTTCAATTAGGGCACAAAGATGGCACTTTTAGCAACCTTGCAAAACCAACTAGCAATACCTCAGTAAACATACAAATGAATGGAGAGACTTCCAAAAGATAACATGATGATGTGAAGATGTTTTAAACAACTCCTATTTGTGTAGATCCTACAAACGCTAACTTTCCAAGTCAGCCTGGATAATATCAGTTAGAGCATGGATAACCTTTTTCCAAACTGAAATTGTTCTGTTTGTACTACAAAAAAAGCCCACACCAGTTCTTTTCTATTGATTTCTTTATTAAAAACATCTACAGGATGGCTAAAGATGGATGCAGAACTGTGGAAAAATACTTCCTTGATTTTTTTTGTGATGAAGCTGTTTTTAGATGATTATGTATGGCTTCACTGTATAGCAAAAAAAGACTTTTTTACATATTGGATTACAGTTTGATACATCCTCACTAGAGAAAGAATATAACATCCACTCCCCAGTATTGATCCTAAGGATAAAAGTATGACATTTCATGAAAAAAATCCATGTTCTGTATTCCAGATATCAAACCACTTGAATAGGTTCCAGAAAATCAGTTTTGATTTGGAAAACGGGATCTAACAGGAGCTGGGGAAAAAACCAACCAAAAAAAACCCCCAACCCCCACCCCCCAAAAAAAAAACCCAACCAAAAAAAAACCCAAAACAACAACAAAAAAAAATTAAAGGGAATATTGTAGCTTCCACTTTTATTCTGCAGGAATACCAACACAAGACAACCTAGATGTCCTAATAGAACCACTTTGAAATTTCATGTAATACATACTTCCACAAACACATCTTTCACGCTTCCAATATACATAATTCAATTATTTTTATTGCCTCATTGTTGCCTTCAAATACCAGTAAACAGTTCTACTAACAGAAGAAAATTATAACATGAACTATCCAGATATTACTGTGCTGCAAAGATATGCCAGATACACATGTCTATTCCATGTCAGTGCACATTTTGCTTCAAGACTATCGGGAGGGGGAGCAAAATAGCAAATCTGAGCCAAGGAATTGCCACAAAATAAATATAATCATTTTTGTCGTTTGACATACTTCTAGTAAATACTATTGACAAGACTACAAATGAATCTTTCCTCACGTAAAATTCATTCACTCTACCTAAATAGATGAAAATTACAATGTAATGTAAATACTAACAAATTTGCAACAATTTCTGAAGTTCACAACATATTAGTTGGCATAACTAACATTGTACAATCTGCACAGAATCCCAGGCAATACACAGATTAATGTGCCAGGGTGGTAAGCAACCTTCTCCCTAAAATTCCACTTTTATAAATTTTATATCTATATAATTAACTGTTATCCTAAGCATATCTGAAGATATGCTCGTTACAACAGTGCAACATAGTCTTTAACAGTGAATAGTACGATAACCCTAGTAATCTGCAAGAAAAATTTGGGGTTTATTACTGAATGTTTCTCACCTGCTTCTCTGGATGATCTCTAATATTAAATATTTTATTACCAAAAGATGAAGGACCACACTAAGAGCCCTGCCTGCTTGTTAACTTAACAGATTCATGTATACTTAAAATCTGTCTTTTATCTTAAGTATCAGGCAGCCTGAAATTTAACAATTTGGAAGAAGCGCTATAGCAAAAATGACAATAAGAAAAACTTTTTTTCTCTACTAAGTATGTTATTTAAAAATAAATAAATTTAGGATTAAAACATGTCAATCAATATTTGAGAAGATGTCAGTTTAATAATCCTTGAAAAAAATATAAAGTTAAAATTATTACACTTTTAACAGCAAGTAATACAAGTATCACAATCAAATGCATATTTCTCAAATGGAACATTTTTAGAATATTTATGTGACCTCTAAGAGTGTCCTTTCAACAAATCAACTTCAAAATACAGTCAATTTTATTTTCCAAGTGCCCCATCAGAAAAGGGTGTTTGAATGACATGAGTGAAAGTCACCACATCAAAAGGATCTCGGTTTCTAGACAAAGCTTTCTTAATGCCTTTTTTCTTTTTCCTACTTGGCTCCCTCCTCCTTTTGCTCCTGTGGTTTCTGCGTAAAGCAATCCAGCTCTAAGAAAATGCTCTGGGGAGTCTTTACAACGCAGTATTAATTGTCTCCTAAATGATGAGATGTGAGGTGCGCTGATCAATGCAGCTAATGCATGTGTTCTCTAGGTCAGCAGACAACACACAGAAACAAAACACAGATCAGATTACAGACAAGCTACCGGAGCCCAGTTCGGAAAGCACTTAACAGAGATGACTTCTGTCAAAACACTTGAAAGGAAAACAGTCGATACTAAGTAAGAATTTTGTTAAACTTGACACTAAGTGACTAAAGGGTATTCTGCAATCATTGTTATTTTAGAAAGTGCTGCATAATAAAAATATGCTTTATGTCATACTCCAGACCAAACACACTACATTTTAGTATGTATAAACCAGGATGAAGTGACTGGAAATCACTGTTCCATGAAGAAATACAATTGTGCAAAAAGCACATTTTACACAGAGTTAAAGTTCTAAATTGCATCACAACAATAGCACATTTAAATTAAATCACATCAGTAGCACCTTTGCTTTGAGAGCTATGTCCACAGGAAAAAAATAAATTAAAAACTGTGGAAAATTGTACACGTGTATAGTTTGGAATTGTTTTAATCTTCTGAAGTGATATTGTCATATTCCTTCACAAAACTGGAATAGCTTTTCACTCAGTTAGTAGAGTACAATAATTTACAAGAGTCATGCAAAAGGAAAACTGCCAGCTACATGACCAACCTCTATAACAAAAATAAGCCTATGAATCACTAAAGCTGGTGAAATTTCTGTTATTTTAAAAGCTTTTAGGCTCCACTACTTTATGAATTAAATTGTCAGATTTGCTTATCATTTTCAGTTGTTCAACAGTTGCGTCCACTCCTTTTTTCACGTTGCTGTGAACAAAAAGCTCAGCCATCTATAAACATACTTTTTGTCATATGATTTTCAAAGTATGTATTTAAAATACAGATCTCATTTTTTAAATAGATGACTTAAAGAAAATCCAAGTAATCAGTGCCTTTATTTATTTAGTGCAAGCATAGCCAATATGAAGTTATTCTATTTTTTTTTTATTATCTACAATTCAAATAGGTGTTAGGGTCAGGTACTGTACACTGCCTTCTACATATGAAGACATAAAACATACACAAAAAAAGAATAATTTTGACACAGAAAATGGCCAAAGGTAGAGTAGGTGATCATCATCCTTGTACACTAAATAAACCCAGAAAAATGGTTTTATGTATGTTCAACAATAATAAAGTCCATGACAGAAGTTTGCATGTGGCTACAAAATATGAAAAAAAATCTAAATACATGCTGTTGATGTTGCTACAATCATAACATGATTTTTTTTTTCTAAGGAAACCAAGTAAATTACTCAGTATTTGTATGTGCTCTACTTTTCAGCAAGTGCAGCACGGTTTCTTTCCCCTTATATCAGATTTAAAATTCAATTTGCATATGTGGGTTTTAACTTTTTTAATCAAAAAAGAAGGCAGAATATAAATGCACAAAAAAAACTTGTCTGTACCACTCATCAAAAATTGATTTTTAAAACCAAAAGAGAAAAACCCTGAAGAAATATTAATCAGTTTTTTATTTTGTTTAGCTTATAGGGGGAACCTTTTGGGCTTGTTTTATTTTTTTTTTTTTAAATAGGAAACCAGACATGGCATTATCTCTGTAGTTCCATTGGAGAGGGAAAGATGAAACCATTAGCAGGCATCACACAATTTACAAATAGGCAAATAAAAAATTGTTTTGAAATCTAATAAATTAGACCTAAAATCTAAACAGTTTGCAGTAACTTTATTTTAATTGTTCGTTTTTCCTTCCCCCTCATTTAACTATCTAAAATTTTACTTCTGATAAATATCCTTGTGTGAGAAAAATTTCTCTCTTGAATTTAGAAAGACAGCAAAAACTTATGAAACAAAAAGAAAGAATTTATTCAGCCCGCTGGGTCTAGTCTCACACCAAGTTTTTTGGAGAGAAAAGACCTCTTGGGTCTTTCATGCATTTTATAGTTTTACAAAATCCCACCTTTTTCAGATAAGCTTAATATATTCACTTTTGCCTAAAAAGGTTTCTTTTCTCTAAAAAGGGGCTTTCCCTATTTTCTAATTGGCCACTGGCCATCCTCTGTCAAAAGTGATGGATCTTCTTTTGTTCTTAGACCAAAGAGAGAAAAGAAACACCTGTGCACCAAACTCTCATATGGCCCCGAAAAATTTTAATTTTTAGGAATTTTTATATTTCCCCTAACTGGCTAAAAAAGACCCTGACACCCAAGTCCACTCTGAGACTTGGATGTCTTACAACCTCGCGATATGCCTATAAAATCATATTTTTATTTCTCATACTTGGACACCACTTCACACTAATTTTTTCAAGAACTTCAAAACCACAGACCAAGAGCTTTTTCTTTGAGAAGGTTATTGTTTACTTATTAGACAACTGATAACAGTTTTTAAAGCAACCATTGGAATAAATGCAGGAGATGCAACAGGATAAACGATGCTGATGCTTTTGATGTTTGTGTTTCTGTACTTAACTGGCAAGCATCTATATATGGTTGCCACTAAACTTGTAAATGTTTTCTTAAAGACTCTGATTCAATGTGTAAGAGTTCTTTTGTACTCACAGAAATGCTCACTGAATGTTAAATGTGCTTCTGTGTTTTAGGAACCTTAGCTGAAATGTTTTGGGGAACGCACTGTACCTTTCAGAAAGGTCTAGTGCTTATATGACTCTATAAACTTTTCACTGGGCTTTTACATCAATCTTAAAGAGAATTTGAAAACCTAAAAAGTACAATGCAATATCAACCCAGGGTAATCCCAATACATCCACTAATTAAATCTCCTTGTATTTTTC